GGAATTGCCACCTCAGAGGGTATACCTTGTAACTAGTCGGACCCTATGCAAGGTCGTGAAGGGGTCGAAACTTCGTGCGCAGGATCAGGATGCCATTGATGAGGATGTCTTGATTCACGATATTTTGGCGGCAGTTCATGAAAGACGCTGCGCTCCACGTACAGGACCCTCTTCGAGTGGCTCTCTATTGACTGAGGGCTGGAGAATGGTATCTAGTGCTTTCAACAGTACCACGAATAGGAGGATCAATTAACATGACCGCTCTATGTAGAATCCTCGTTGTATGTCTTTTTCTTGTATGCGTTATGGATTTTCCGTCTACGAAGTCTATACTTCATTCCACATTGATGGCTACGGTCAGCGAGCCATTTGGCTAGGAAGAGGGATCAACTACAAGATAAGACAAATCCAATCTAAAAAAGTTCGCTACGTACCTCAGGCTCATCAAAGTTCTGTTCACACTCCTGAACTGGTTTCCCCAGAGTTTGATAAATTATAGCCTGTCCCTTCATCCTTCATCCTTCTTATCAAAACTCTACAGCATTTACTTGGCACTTACTTATCCGCATTCCACGTCCACGTCCACGTCCACGTCCACGTCCAAGTCCATGTCCAAGTCCATGTCCATATCCAAATGGCATGCAGGAACGACCTTAACTCAAGTCGATCCAGATTCCAGACTATTCGTCACGAAGAAGATGAAAGTTAAAAGTAGGTCTCGTTAAAATGGAATTTGAAAGTGAAGGGAACCGACTCGATCTGCCCTTACCCTTACCCTTACCCTTACCTTGCGATAGCCATGAAAGGAAAAAAGCATATCGTCACAGTGGGGGTATGTACTATGTTGCTTGATCAAGCTTGTTGGTTCAAGTTGATTAGTGGCAAAGCCAAAAGTCAAAGACACCCTTCTGGTTATGTTTGTACGTACCCCCACCGGTACGTACCGACTTGCCGCCCCCATCCGCCGCACCCCGAGTCCCGAAACCCGACAGCACTAAGCCGCCTCGAATCCACTCCCTATGGCAAAAGTATCGCCCTCCCAAAACGAAAAAACCACGACGAGGACTCTAAAAACCATAACCAGCACTCTCAAAGCCATTAACAACTTGCCCTTTGTCCAAAACAACACAGTTCCAGTTCCAAGTCGTGACAAAACCGACAATTGTAAGGCGACATGACACAGACAAAGCGAGGCGAGGCAAGGCGAAAACTAGTATATATTCGGATATAAGGAAAAACATATCAACATATCGAGAGGAGGAGGGGGCGCGGAGAAGAAGAGCAGGCAGAGGCAGAAGCCAGGGTTACCATGCCCATGCCATGCCTATGGAGACACACTCGAATACAGAGATGCAATAACAGAGGGGTACGTGGTACGTGGTATGTGCGTCGGGCGTCGTGCAAAAAAGGAGTAATGTATATAGGGAATCGGAACCATCAATCATCGCAGGCCAAAAAAAAAATACACAAAAAAAAAAGTATACTTATATATGTACGCACAAAAAAAAGCATTGTCCTGTTCCTGTTCCTGTTCAATCTTCTCAAAAAAAGCCCCAAATCGAATCGGAACCAGAATCGAAATACGAAGCACATCAAACAACTATGTAAATGAGATAAATAGCATAAACAGGGTTAAAAAAAAAAAGTTAAATGAAGGATCCGAGCGAATGAGGAGGATGATGGGAACAGCTCCGACTCCTACAACAGTGGGTAAGGGATAAAGGAGGTATTCGAGCAAAGAAGAGACAACAACAAGATCAAGAAGCATCAGGCAAGATCAAGATAACACACTAACACTAACACAACGACAACGAAACATGACGAAAGACGAAGACGTGAGTCGGAAGAGATTTGGAAAGTAATGTGCAAATGTCGTAAGGAGGAGAGGGGAAGGGGAGCGGCGGAGGGAAGGGGCGTATAAAGTGTTCGTTCATTCGTTCGTTCGTTTCTTCGTTCGTCATGACGGCACGGCGCTGCGCCACGCTGAAACAACGCAAACGCGGGTGATGAGGAAATTAGGGAATCGTAGCGAGGAATTGTGGATGAGGGATATAGGGAATCGTAGCAAAGAAATGTGGATGAGGAAATGAAGGAAATCGGCGGATCAAGGAATCACTTGAAGAAATCGGAAATTAAAGCCATTACGACGGGTATGAGGGATGCAAAGGGTATGGATCGTCATCCCACGAATCTGAAGAAAAAAAGTGAAATGACACGCGTCAGTCAATCGTGAACGAATGATGAAGGAAGGGATGGAAAATGGAAGACAGAAGCATAGAACAATGACGAGAACCAGGGACGGCCAGAGCTAGACCTAGACCTAGAACTCGACGAAAGAAACAGCCAAAGCAATACCAAAAAAGGTCCAAGAAAGAAATCCACTCCGCCAACTCAACTACGAGTAAACCGAGGTTCTACCAAATAGATATGCAAAGAATTCCACCAAACTCCAACGGAGCAATCCCATCCAGCCACACCCGCACGCACACCGCCTCCTCAAGCGAGAGCGCTCCACCAAAGAAATACACAAAGAATTCCACCACAGCCCAACAGAGTAATCCCACCGTATCACCCGCACCCGCACCCGCACTGCACCCACACCGCACCACCTAGCGCTCATGAACCGTGGTCCACATCACACCTCCGATAAACCGATAAACCGTAAACGTAAACGAAAAAACCAACCAACCCCAACCCCAACCCCGACATCCAGTCGGGCGCCCAAAAAAAGAAATAACCAGAGTTCAATAAAAACATACCTTCAGTAATACTCCTCCAAGCCAAATACAACACCCCAACCGCCGCAGTCTCTAAAACGGTAGCGATAAAGGATCCATCGACTTTACTTGATGAACCCTAAAACGTAACGTATAGGAGTTTTATGTTAGTAAACGTGAATGGAAACTGTATGTAAAACCCAGACGAGAACCAAACCGATGAGGCGAGCCAAAAAAAAAAAAAAAAAGCAATAAGCAATGAACATTGCAAACCCGGGACTTTTTCGTCGAAAAGGACCCGGAAGCAAATTTTCAATTAACCAGCCAAGCCAAGCCAGTATTGGTTGCCAGGGAATCGAACATCCAAGACTCGAGCAAGCAACCGATCAAAAAGTGAAAGTGAAAGGGACGATCGGGGACACGTAACAACCCAAAAAAAAAGAAAAAAAGAGAAGAGAAACGCTCACCTCACAAACAACCTTGCCCAACAAAAACCACGCCAACTGACTAAGTACAAACAACGCCGCAGCCAAGATATAATACCACATCGGTCTCGTCTCATTCAGTATGACGAGAACGATGTATCCCATCGTGACGAAATAAATGACAGTAGCACTGTGTGTGTATCAGACGTAAAGATAAACAACAAAATAAGCGAGTTAGCAAAAGCGGAATTAGAGAATGGGAATTCAACCACTCACGCTGCAGGCCAAATACTCGTCAAAACGAACAAGGGTATACTTTTCAATTCGCGCGGGTCACTCGAGGGACCAAGCGTTTTAGTAATTGTTAACCCTACATCGAACGCGACATAGGTCGTCCCTGCGAAAAACGCAGCGGAGAGTAAGAAGAATGGCTATATAGTATGAGTAAAAAAGTCGAATCAGACAGTGATCAAATATGCACAGAGACCAACGTACAACCAACGCAGAGGGAGTCCCATCTTCTACCGCTTGTGTCGCTACGAACGCATTCATAAGCAGAGCCCAGAAAAAGGTTGCTACCAGACCAGCATGGATGGCCGTCAACGCAACCAAGGCTGTTGAGCCTTGCGAAAGCAACGCTCCGGTTGTTAAGAGTTGAAATGGTAACGTGAGGAAATAGATGATGAGGAGATTCCTCAGTTCGACTCGACCTAGAGTATCAAAGGTTGGATGATATTCACAGCAAGCGCAGCGCAAAGCAACGCAAAAGGACTCACCCACTGCAGCCTTCCTCCTCTGCGCCCTCCAAATAAGACCCAACACGAAAAGCATGCTCACGGCACACACGACGATATTGGCGATATTGCCCAAGCTATTCGAGGAGCTCTGATGTGGGCCAGAGATGGTCGTGCCGACTTTTGGTATACCGCAGACGGGGTTAACACCGACTGGAGCAGAATTTGGATCAGCGGAGAGACCGGTCAAGATGGATTTGAGTGAAGAGTCGGAGGAAAGTTGTCGGTAGAAGAGATTACACCAAGTATAAGATGGTGTATTCCGACATAGAGGTTCAAAGTCGCCAAAGCGTGTCATGGTTCCGAGTCGGGTTCTTCAACGACGAGTATATGAGTTTTGGACTGGGACGTCGAGTGCGACGTTGAGTGCTCGTCGTGAGAGAGTATAATGAAGAACCAAGAGGGGATAAACAAACACCGTCAAATAAACCTAGTTCAACTTCGGCCCGTTAGTTCCGCACACTGGTATAAGCTCCAGCATCAACCTCGCCTTGAACACGCACTGCAGCTGCATGAGTTGCCCCTCGGTCTTAATCCTCTCACTCTATTAATACACTCTCAACCTGCCTCGAGGTAGTCCAACACTCGCCGGAACCGCCACAGCTATATCGATACGCTGATTGTCCAACATAATCACTGATCTACAGCGTTTGACACTGGTCCGTACTTGTACTGACCGTGACAATCCAACAGCTTGCGCGTATAGTTGGTTATCACATCTCCTCTACATCCTTTAGTGAGTAGCACTTTTGGTTTTGAGTTTGTTTCGGGTAGTAACGGCTGTTACTGACTCCCCAGTCGTCAAGCAGGTACCGGGTTCATTTAATAAAGCAACACATCCGTCGTCAGAACATACATTATTAATCGATTCTTCACATGAAACACTCACGACGGTCGAGCGTTCGCCTGAACCGCCACAGTTCATACTAATACTAACACTAACACTAATACTAATCAGTCTCCGGTATCGATCCATACGAACACGCTGATAATCACGGATTTACGAGCCTTCGCTGACACGAAATGTTACTATAATCCACTTCCTTCATTATATCCAAAAGAAAGGTTCGATGGCGTAGTCGGTTATCGCATCTGTCTTACATAGAACTCTCCTGAGTATGCGTTACACAGAAGGCCCCCGGTTCGAGCCCGGGTCGAACCATGCGTATCTCTCGAAAGAGCAGCATACCGCTTTTCTTTTGTTCTCTTCAACACCAAATCCTTACCTTACCCGTACATCCTCCTCGAGTCTTGTACCCAAACCGATCGCGATTGACCAAAATTGGTTCGCATATATATATTTATATACAAATAAACTCTTAATCAAACGAGGTCGAGACCCAAAAGTCTCGACCCAACTTCCGCCGACTCCTCGAGAACAACTCGCACATACATATTACTTACATACTGTAATATAATATCATCAGAAATAGCTCCAGCCCCATCCCGTTTTCTCTCACTTCCAACACCGTCACGGTGAACCCTACGAAATTATTCAACATTGAACGATTAAACCTTTTTTCAAATCGTCACACCACTATCAGCCAGCCAGTAGATAGATAGATAGATAGATAAATAGATATCACGCAGCGAAGTCTAAATAAGTAGTCAAAACTTGAGCGGAAAGATATCACTTCAACTAAACCCATCCCCAGCCCTCCGAGTCACCCTTCCGAGTCCATTGCACTTCCCATATGTACATACTCATCTATCAAAAATCACTCACTCCTCCGAGCCCGGTCGGAAAAACAGACGACACAACCATTCATGCTCAGCGCTCATCATTAACCGATATGAATCAGGAGCATAAAAAAAAAACATAATCAAATCTGATTCCCATCACCATTTCGACAAATACTCGGAAAAAAACAGTATAATTTCATACTTTCTTCCCTCCCTTCCTTCCTTCCTTCCTTCCTTCCTTTCTTTCTTTCCCGATCCAAATACAATTACATGTACACGGAAGGAAAATCCAGACCAAAAAGACAATCCCAAAATCAAAAGAGCACAGAGGCCAAATGACAATGACAATGACAAAAGGTAGCAGGTAGCAGGTTGACAGTAACAGTTACGACGATCATAAATAGATATTCAAAATGAATGTACGCTTTTTTTTTAAATAATAAACACTAGAGTCCCAAACCAACACAAGCCCAAAAAGGAACCATGACACGAATGTCGAGGAGAGAGAGAAAAAACGAACAAAACGAAGCGAATAAGACGTAGTCGGGAATCACTCCCTTTATCCATCCCTAAATCATCTTCTTAAAGACCCGGAGGCGTGAACCCAGGAAGGTCAGGCCAAAGCCCAAGCTTGGCGGGATCTCCTCCGATACGTACCCAATTCGAATGCGAAGGGGTTCCAGCATCGTCCAATATGAACAGCTGCCACCAGCCGGGCGGAGAGACAAACGCGTTCGGCGGGGTCGTGATCGTAACCGTAGTTCCAGAGACCGTGAACGCAGGGAAGATCGTACGGGCGCCCATGGCGTTTCCGTGTGTGCTCGAAACAGCGGCAACAAGCGAAACCTTGATGTTCGCCGCGGATCCATGGAACACTTGCACGTTGGTGATCGTAAACTGCTGGTTATACCCAAAGTCCGTGGCGGTGATGTTGTACTGAGGCTGGCGAATGCCCTGGTTCAGGTAGGGAGGAACGTAAACCTCAATACGCATTTCTTCGGGGAATCCAGGTGTCTGCGGGTCAGAGCCGGAAACCAAGATACGTCCATCGGGCAAGAGGATAGCCTCAGAGTGGTAAAGTCGGGGAACGATGGTGTTGTTAAGGATGGAGAACCGCTGGTTAACAGGGAGTGTCGGATCGTATAGGACAGCATTGAAGTTGGGATCTGAAGCGAGACCGAAACCAGCAACACCTTCCATAGCACCGTTCATGATCATCATGGTACCATCAGGTAACGGGACCATGCAAGTCATAACTCGGCGGGAAGGCTAAACAAGGAATCTGAGCAACCAATGAATGGTCCAGGAATGCCTCAAAACTCACCATACGCTCAAGGGTCCAAGTGGCATTTGCGACTTCGGGCTGAATAGACACACAGTTATCAATCACTTGAGCTATTAGGAAGAATATATAAGAAAGACGAAAGACATATGAGATAGCATCAAACATACCAGGACCAGGAGTAGAACCTCCGCAGATCAAAACGCGCAGCGGATCAGTGTAAGCTATGGCAGACCGTTGTTCAACATCGATATTCGCATATAAAAGCGTCAGGACTCACGGGCGTGTTGAGGGAAAGGTATCATAGAGCCCTCCAAAGGATATGTGCGACCTGCCAAGACTGCCCGACACGATATGTCAGCAGCGGCTGAAAGAGATTTAAAGGGTAAAACGCACAGTTGTTGACATTACCAGGCATGTTAGGCAAAGTCTTTACAGTGGCGAAGGTGTGTGGGTCGAGAATGCGAGCCTCGTTGTAGTAAGCTGGAAGTTTTTTCATTTAGTAATCAGCCATAGTGATTATCATGACGACTCTTCTCACCAGTGAAGATATTACCAGAAGGCAGCATGGTGAGGAATGGGTAGCTAGGAGCGGACCATGAGGAAGAATAGGAGGCAAACATCATTATAGACATACAGGTTATAAGGATCTGTTCTGTTAAGGAAGTCGAGGAACACGGTTCCGGCACCTGTCGGAAGAGGCATAATTTCAAGACTCGGCACAGGAGAAGCGTTGCTTCCACTTTCGCCGCCCATGACGAGAATAGACCCATTGGAAAGGACTAGTGCGGAGGGATACCATCTACCAGACTACGAAAAGACGTGAGCAGATTCTGAAGAAAGGATATGACTTCCTGGACATACCAAGAGGGAGAGCTCTTGGAAGTTTTCTTCCCAATCATTAGTCGAATTGACTCCAGGAACACCATCGGGCGTGTAAAGCCTAACTCCAAAGGTAGAGTCCAATGACCATCCTAATGAGCAACGTCAACACTTGGCAAACCCTAATGGCAGAGTGACTATATTCATACCTCCGACGTTGATCTGCCTAGCACCTATATCGGGGAGAATGACACTTCCGGAGCAGAAAACGTCAGTCTGTACATGCATTGTACGCCATGCAGCGGAAAAGTTGGACACCAGACTGAGATCAAGCTCGTATGCTCCTGTAGAGTTATCAAACCTAGAAAAGAGCCAGTCAGAGGGGGGTACGTTCACTAGAGGCATGATCCGATACTTACTCGCTCGTACCGTGCTTCTCCAAGAACGTAACCTTGTTGTTTTTGCCGAGGGTAGCGATCAGAGGAACGACGACACTAAAAAGTAGAAAGTGAGGAAATGCCCAGAAGTTCCGTAATTGTAACAGACATACCCAGGGACTGTAAAAGTAAGGCTCGAAGTAATTCATCCAAAATTCGAGTATTACTCACCGAAGAACTGAAAATCACGGTCAGCGTAGATACAAAGATGAAGCACGAGAACTTACTTCGTAATATCCAGTGTTTGCAGGCCGATGCCAGACACTTATATTACCATTCCATGTGTACATTGTGAGCCTGAGGGGACCTATATTCCATAACTTGCTCAGATTGCATCCTTGAGTACGCACTTAAGCTACACACCTCCACATAATTCAGTAGGAGCTCCAGAACATAATATGTTACAATCAGTCTCGGGAGCCTAGAGTGAAACGTTAAAAGATGGATGATTTAGTATAAGAGACAGGTCAAACACATACGAGGGTCGCTTGGTTGGTAGTAATGTCGGAGACGTCACCACAGTCTAGGAAGGTATCAGAACCACCGCAAATAACCTTCCGAGGCGAGACTATTCTGCTTACAGCACTCGTCACCGAATTCCATACCCGCAGCGGTGTACCCAAAGGCAGAACATTGGCTCGTGCAGGTTTCAGCCGAATTGTTGAGGGTCAAGATGAGTTGCCAGGGAAGGGTACGGACGCCATTGACGGCTTCATCTCTGAAGATGCAAAAGGTCAGGAAAACATTCCGAGCGATATCAAGAGAGAATCGCTAACGTGTAGCACCCAGCGTAGGTCCAGTTTCCGGTCAAGTTTGTCTTCTGGACTGTAGGAACAGGGAGGGCCGTGACGTTCGTCAACGTCGAGTACACGGAACTAGTTCTGAATCAGGAAAACGCTCGGGGAATACCGATTTTCCTACTTACAGCAGGTTAGGTCCACCGCAAGCTTCGCTAAACAACGATCAGATATGTTCGACAGCAGGAGAGCAAACAATCGTACGTTGCGTTGCCGGCACAGCCCATACTGCACGTGGCATCAGTAGTCGTAACAGCGCCGTTGACTAGTCGGTCCCCACAAACTATTCATGTCAAATGTCTTGAGCTACACAGTTGAAACGACAGCGATCTGTCAGTCAAAGACTTACAACATTGGCTCTGCCCACAAACATATCAGCTTCGCGGTAAGGATGATTCAAATAAGCACGGCGACGTACACTAAATTCCATCCCTGCCACAGTGAAATTTTGACTGGCACATTCGTTGATGCATACTTCGACGGTGTTGTTGGGGTTGTTCCCATCTTCCGGACCGAATTCAAATACTCGACCGTGCGCATTGTCACTGATGATAGAGTTTGATTGAGAAACGACGCACTTGAAAATGTCAAGAAAAACGCAAAAAAAAGACCTACACATAACATCCGACATAGTGCCAAGGTTTCGGAAGGCCCGATGTCACCGGGAAGACCGGAGCTCCTCCGCCTCCTCCTCCGCCTCCTCCAGTGGAGATTGGAGGGAGGTTTTTACCGGTGTAATTGTACATCTGGATAATGTCATCAGCGCTCGTATCGAATAGCCCAGAGCGTCAAAAAACATACATTAAGAGCATTCGGCCCTCCACAGAATTCCGACACATTTCCAGAGCAAACCTAGTAAGATATCTAGTCAAAATATCCCTGAACGCAGGGCCAGGTCGAGTCTTACCATGTTACAAGCTGAGGCGGCTATAGGAGCGCCTCCATTTTTAATGGCGCTATCACAGACTAGTTCATTCAGTATTGAAAAAAAAGCTGGTCCCCTCCACGATACTCACAGCACTGGTCAGCAAACTCGGTACCCGCAAACTCATATCCAGCGGCGAAGCAGGCTGAAGTACAAGACTCTATCGTAATGGTGGCGGGGTTCAATTGCACCGTCAGTGTGCGCTGGCCGTTAACA